AGGAGGCCTTCATGTAAGAATGAGCAACAGTCGCCCAGCTTCTCCCAACTAATTTGTTTTAGGGACATGATTCGCGACAAGAAGAACCAGACTGTCGTAGTCTCCGGAGAGTCTGGTGCTGGTAAAACTGTCAGCGCCAAATACATCATGCGATACTTTGCTACTAGAGAGTCTCCCGACAACCCTGGTGGGCGATCCAAGCGAGGCAACGAGTCAATGAGTGAGACGGAAGAGCAGATCCTTGCGACCAACCCTATCATGGAAGCGTTCGGTAACGCTAAGACGACTCGAAACGACAACTCTTCACGATTCGGAAAGTACATTGAGATCATGTTTGACGAGGAGACGAATATTATTGGCGCAAAGATTAGAACATATCTTCTGGAACGCTCACGATTGGTTTTCCAGCCCCTCAAGGAGCGTAACTACCATATCTTCTATCAGCTCATCGCTGGTGCCTCTGACCAGCAGCGCGAGGAGCTCGGTCTTTTGCCCATTGAGGAGTTTGAGTACCTGAACCAAGGAAACTGCCCAACAATTGATGGTGTGGACGACAAGGCCGAATTCGAGGCAACCCAGAAGTCGCTATCGACCATTGGTGTTACAGGCGAGCAGCAGTCAGACATTTTCAAGTTGTTGGCCGGTCTTCTGCACCTCGGAAATGTCAAGATCACTGCTTCACGTAACGACAGTGTATTGGCTCCCAACGAGCCTTCTTTAGAGAAGGCTTGCGCTATTCTTGGTGTTAAGGCCGAGGAGTTTGCCAGGTGGATTGTTAAGAAGCAGCTCATTACCCGTGGTGAGAAGATCACTTCAAACCTGAGCCAAGCGCAGGCTATCGTTGTTCGTGATTCCGTCGCCAAGTTTATTTACTCGAGTCTCTTCGACTGGCTCGTTGATATCATCAACACCAGTTTGGCTTCTGAAGAGGTGTTGAGCCGAGTGACCTCATTCATCGGTGTTTTGGATATTTATGGTTTCGAACATTTTGCCAAGAACTCATTCGAACAGTTCTGTATCAACTACGCCAACGAGAAGTTGCAGCAAGAGTTCAACCAGCATGTCTTCAAGCTGGAGCAGGAAGAATACCTTAGGGAGCAGATCGACTGGACTTTCATTGACTTCTCCGATAACCAGCCTTGTATCGACCTGATCGAGGGCAAGCTAGGTATCTTGTCTCTGCTCGACGAAGAGTCTCGACTTCCCATGGGATCAGACGAGCAGTTTGTCACCAAGCTTCACCACAACTTCACTCCTGATAAGTCAAAATTCTACAAGAAGCCTAGATTCGGAAAGTCAGCTTTCACTGTCTGCCATTATGCCATTGACGTTACCTACGAGTCCGAGGGTTTTATCGAGAAGAACCGAGATACTGTCCCTGATGAGCACATGGCTGTCCTGCGCGCCTCAAGCAACGAGTTCCTCAAGACTGTCTTGGACGCCGCGACTGCCGTACGAGAGAAGGATGCCGCCTCTTCCAGCTCCAACGCTGTTAAGCCCGCCGCTGGTAGGAAGATTGGAGTGGCTGTCAACAGGAAGCCCACACTGGGAGGCATTTTCCGATCGTCGCTCATCGAGCTTATGAGCACCATCAACAACACTGACGTCCACTACATCCGATGTATTAAGCCTAACGAGGCCAAGGAGGCTTGGAAATTTGAGGGCCCCATGGTTCTCAGCCAGCTGCGTGCTTGTGGTGTCCTCGAGACAGTCCGTATTAGTTGTGCCGGTTACCCTACTCGCTGGACATACGAAGAGTTCGCCCTTCGTTACTACATGTTGGTTAGGTCTGACCAATGGACCTCGGAGATCCGTGAGATGGCTGATGCCATCCTTAAGAAGGCTCTTGGAACAAGTACCGAGAAGGGCATGGACAAGTACCAGCTTGGTCTCACCAAGATTTTCTTCCGAGCTGGTATGCTCGCCTTCTTGGAGAACCTCCGCACCACCAGGCTCAATGACTGTGCTATTATGATCCAGAAGAACCTCAGAGCCAAGTACTACCGACAACGCTACCTCGAGGCTCGTGAAGCCATCATCCTTACACAGTCTGCAATTAGGTCATGGAAGGCCAGAAAGTCGGCCCAAGAGCTCCGCACTATCAAGGCTGCTATCACCATCCAGCGCGTGTGGCGAGGATCCAAGCAGCGCAAGTCTTACGTTCAATTCAGAAAGGATATGGTCCTGTTCGAGTCAATTGCCAAGGGATACCTTCGACGAAAGACCATCTTGGAGGAACGCCTTGGTAATGCTGCTCTCAAGATCCAGCGTTCTTGGAGATCAAGAAGGCAGTTGCTGGCTTGGAGGCAGTACCGCAAGAAGGTTATCCTTATCCAGAGCTTGTGGCGTGGAAGGAAGGCCCGAAAGGAATACAAGACAGTTCGTGAAGAGGCTCGTGACTTGAAGCAGATCTCCTACAAGCTTGAAAACAAGGTTGTCGAGTTGACGCAGTCTCTGGGTTCAATGAAGGAAAGGAACAAGGGTCTTGCATCACAGGTTGAGAACTACGAGGGACAAATCAAGTCATGGAAGAAGAGACATAACGACCTTGAGGCACGAACGAAGGAGCTCCAGACTGAAGCTAACCAGGCTGGTATCGCCGTCGCACGCCTGCAAGCGATGGAGGATGAGATGAAGAAGCTTCAAGTCGCCTTCGATGAGTCGACGGCCAATATTAAGAGAATGCAAGAGGAGGAGAGAGAGCTTCGAGAGTCTCTTCGGTTAACCAACACAGAATTGGAGACAGCAAAGAGGTCAAGCACTCAACATGAGAAGGATAACATGAGTTTGAGGCAGGAACTCGAGTCTCTTCGAGACGCCCTCGAGCTGGCTCGAAGGAATGCGCCTATCAATGGAGAGCTTGCCAATGGGACAACGCCTGGAGCTTCAGTACCTTCTGGTCTTATTAACCTGGTCGCGTCCAAGAAGCCTAAGCGTCGCAGCGCAGGCGCGGAACCGCGGGAGCTTGATCGCTTTAGTGGTACTTATAACCCTCGGCCGGTTTCCATGGCTGTTACTGGCACGGCGCATCGCCAGAACCTTTCTGGTTCGACCTTCCTCCCTGGCGTCGATAATATTGAGATGGAACTCGAGACGCTTCTCGCGGACGAGGATGGCCTCAATGAGGAGGTGACCATGGGACTGATCCGAAACCTCAAGATCCCCTCTCCCAACACTACCCCACCACCATCAGACAAGGAAGTTCTGTTCCCTTCATACCTCATCAACTTGGTCACATCAGAGATGTGGAACAACGGTTTCGTCAAGGAGTCGGAACGCTTCTTGGCCAATGTTATGCAGTCTATCCAGCAGGAGGTTATGCAGCACGATGGTGACGAGGCTATCAACCCTGGCGCCTTCTGGTTGTCAAACGTTCACGAGATGTTGTCTTTCGTGTTCCTTGCCGAGGATTGGTACGAGGCTCAGAAGTCTGACAACTACGAGTACGACCGACTTCTTGAGATCGTTAAGCACGATCTTGAGAGTTTGGAGTTCAACATTTACCACACTTGGATGAAGGTGTTGAAGAAGAAGTTGCAGAAGATGATTATTCCCGCCATCATCGAGTCCCAGTCTCTTCCTGGTTTCGTTACCAACGAAAGCAGCCGTTTCTTGGGCAAGCTTCTCCAGTCGAACTCGACCCCTGCTTACAGCATGGACAACCTCCTTAGTCTGCTTAACAGCGTCTTCCGCGCGATGAAGGCATACTACTTGGAGGATTCCATCATCACGCAGTGCATCACCGAGCTCCTGAAGTTGGTTGGTGTGACAGCGTTCAACGATCTGCTCATGCGAAGAAACTTCCTCTCATGGAAGCGTGGTCTTCAGATTAACTACAACATCACTCGAATTGAGGAATGGTGCAAGAGCCACGATATGCCCGAGGGTACGCTCCAACTGGAGCATCTTATGGTAAGTTCAACCCCAGAGGTGGTTCAAGAATAGAGCTAACCGTTATGCAGCAAGCAACCAAGCTTCTTCAGCTCAAGAAGGCCACCCTGAACGACATAGAAATTATTCAGGACATCTGCTGGATGTAAGTATACTGAGATCTCTATCAATGACTTCTTACTGACAATCATAGGCTTTCACCGAACCAGATCCAGAAGCTGCTCAACCAATACTTGGTTGCCGATTACGAGCAGCCTATCAACGGCGAGATCATGAAGGCAGTTGCCTCGCGTGTTACTGAGAAGAGTGACGTCCTTCTCCTTCAGGCCGTCGATATGGACGACAGTGGTCCTTACGAGATCGCCGAGCCTCGAGTCATCACTGCGCTCGAGACTTACACACCCTCTTGTAAGTTCCATATGAACCGAGTTACCTTGCAAGCAATTTGAGACTGACAATTTTCTTCCAGGGCTCCAAACTCCTCGCCTGAAGAGGCTCGCTGAGATCGTCTCAGCACAAGCCATTGCGCAACAGGAGAAGTTGGACTACACAGACGGCGAAGAATACGAGAACGGCCACCAGCATGAGCTTGAGGGCGTCGATGAAGTGGATGTAGAGCAGTAAGAAATAATGAAGCTGGTTTAGGCATTTCAAACGCACATAAGGGATAGAAGCCGCATTTTCAGGGTGTTTGATGTCGAATTTTCTAATGACGGCGTGTTACTGAGGCAGATCTGAGGTTTTTCTCCTTGTATCTGGAAGACATCATGGTTATAGAGTGGGATGTTAGCCCCCTTCTCCGCAAGTTGGTGAGGGTATTTGAGCTCGATTCTATCTTTATAAGATGAACTATAGCTGTATTGGAGAATCCGAGAGATGAGAGTACGAAGCGATACTGTGGTTATTTGTTCACTTGTTTTTATCTATTTGTTTCTTGTGATAGTTTGTTGATGGTGAAAAGTTGGTGTTGATGCAACTATCGAGTCTTTACGCCCCTTTAATTGCATCGCACAGTCTACGTAGCTGCAATTTCAGAGGTACCCAAATTGGAGTCTATCAATCTCTGCATTTATAGGTACCTATATCAGACAAACAAAACCTTTACCAAAATGAGTGATCGAAAATTGCCCAATATTATCATCACAGGTACGCCTGGTGTCGGAAAGACGACTCATTGTGAGAGCCTTGCAGAACGAACTGGTCTGCGTCACCTTTCAGTCAACCAAGTCGTGAAGGACAAGGAGTGCCATGAAGGTTACAGCGATGAGTTCCACAGCTTGATTGTGGATGAAGACAAGGCAAGTATTTATATCTACAATCAGATATCTAAATTACGGATTTGTTTGAGTAAACAAGGACACAAGCTAACAGTATCACAGCTCCTTGATGCTATCGAGGAGGATGTCAAGGCTGGCGGATACATCATTGACTGGCACGCATGTGATCTCTTCCCTAAGAGCTGGATAGATCTAGTCGTGGTCCTACGAGTCGACTCTTCCACCCTCTACGACCGTCTTACAGCGAGGTATGTCCTCTCAGGCTTGAGTTGTGACAAAAAGAAGCTTTTGCTGATTATTTTAACCACAGAAATTATCCCGACTCTAAGCTTCAAGAAAACCTTGACTCTGAGATTATGGAGGTCCTTCTACAAGAGGCGCATGAGGCATTCGATGAGGAAATTGTCATCGAGTTGACAAGCAACAACGCTGATGAGATGGACACAAATGTTGATCGCATAGTTGCTTGGCTCGATCAATGGAAGAAGGACAACAGCGAGTAAGGAAGTTCTATTGAAGGCGACTTTTATTAGAGGGCATGGGTTCTTGGAACTGCATGCAGACAGAGCGAGACTACGGGTATTGAAGGTCATATTTGAAAGCGCGGAATTGGTTGGTGAAAATAGATATTGATACAAGCCTAGGGCAGGCTACGAATTGACATGAATCGCTTTAGAAGGTTCATATCGGACAAGTGCATATTTTGTCACACAGTGGGGGTTGAGTGGCCCATCGTTCAGCTCGATTACTTTCAGCTTCTATCTCTATCTCTCTTTGACGATCTTATTTTCTCTTGCCTTTTTAAAGAAAACCGCCTTACCACTTACTTGTCTCTATCAAATCTGTGGAAAAATAAAAATGGCGCCTCACAAAGTCAACTTCATCACCGGCAACGCCAACAAGTTGACCGAAGTCAAGGCCATTCTTGAGCCTGAGATCGAGGTCCTCAGCCAGCCCGTAGACCTCGAGGAGGTGCAAGGCACACTTGAGGGGGTTACTGAGTACAAGTGCCGTAAAGCGGCCGAATTGGTAGGTATTTGTTTATTGAACAACCGCTTAAAAATGAAAACATGCCTAATAATCAATTTCCAGGTGAAAGGCCCAGTCCTGGTTGAGGATACAGCGCTCTGCTACAATGCCCTCAATGGCCTTCCTGGTGTCTACATGCAAGTTGAAATCGCTGTTCTGAAAATGCAAAGCGCTGATGATCGAGAAGCAAGTGGTTCATGACTTCAATCGGTCACCAAGGTCTGAACAACCTACTGGCTGCTTACGATGACAAGTCTGCTGAAGCCGTCTGCACTTTCGGATACTGCGCCGGACCTGGAGAGGAGGTCATCATCTTCCAAGGTCGATGCCCAGTAAGAAGTCCTTGAATATGTTTTATCAACTGCGCTGACGGTTTTGCAGGGCAAGATTGTGCTTCCTCGAGGACCTCCCGCTTTCGGATGGGATGCCATCTTCGAGTACGAAGGCCAGACGTAAGGAAAGAATCGACCTTGACTGTTGTTCTCTGCTGACCGTTACAGCTTTGCCGAGATGGACAAGGTAGAGAAGAACAAGATCTCTCATCGAAGCCGCGCGCTGGCCAAGCTTCAGGCTTGGTTCAAGGACCAGCAGTAAACCGATCTCCAGTAAATCACCTGGGTCACTAGGCCACAGATGCATATTTTGTGAGACTAAACGTCATAAGTATGGACGAAGACAAGATTCCAAGGGTGAGATCACTTACTAGAGCACTTCATATTGGTTGTGTCTGCGGAAGTAGTGGGAACCACGACGGTATGGTTTCAGGAGTCCGTCGATAGAAGAGCCTTTCAACCGAAATGTTTTCCCGACGAGATCTCTAATCTTAGTAGAATCACGGAAGCTAGGGTCGAATACCAAGAGGTTTGTGTGGCCATCCATCTGCTTCTCGAACCCGACGATAGTCAGAGAGTGTCCTGTTCCAATCTTAGCCCTTGCGCTCTCTGTAAACGGTTCTCGCATCTTACCTGGATGCTGTAGATAGATCGGTGGTAGGTTTGTGCAATGGATCCGGTCCTCTACGCTGGTAACGCCTCCTTGGAAGTATCTCTCGATAGCTTCGAAGAGGTGCTGCTTAGACCTACCGCGTTCCGGATCTTTGAATGCTTGAACCGAACAACTGTCTATGATCAGCTATATTTTCAACATTAGATAAATGGCCCGTTCAACATACGGTATGTTTAGGCTCAGGAATACAGCTTGTGCCTATGTTTTGTAAGCAATTTGCAGATAAAGACATACGCAGGATATACTACCTCTGGTGTACCAATGTACTTCCGTGTTCCCCTGATACCTCCAGTTTCTGCTCTACCCTGAGCGTTGATACCACTATCCCAAGCGTTTTCGATCAAATTCTGGATCTGAAAGATATTAGGAAAGCTCTCGCCAAAGTGCTGAGAGCCTGGAGTTTTCGCAGAGATGATGTCAGATGTGAGCATCTGGATGTTTCGATAACCACAGAAACCACCTGGACTTGTCAGATACCCCTGAATCGATACATATACACAGTCACTGGAGGCAGAAACTCACCTTCCTGCTTCAACTTGGAAATATGCTGCACCGCAGGTCGGCAGACGTAGGCATATTGTGTTGAAGGGTTTTGTTCGAGGAGTTGAATTAGAACAGGCAAAATGTCTATTCTCCTGATCAGCTGTTATCCCCGTACCTTACGGAGGCATTCTCACCGTTATTAACGACTTGGCCATCTTTTTCAAGAAGATCTACGAGCCATGGGGGCATCTTCTTTTCATGTGCGAATCTGCCAAGCTCCGATCTCTACAACAGAGTTAGTTCACTGGCCTGAGCAAACTATCACGAATTCACATACCCCCAAACGGCCAGACTTTCGACGTCGTTCCCCATGCCTAGTTCGAGAAGAAGAACCTCTATCAGGACTCTTTGTGATACCAGCCTCTTCCCTTTTAGTTTTGTGGCGAGTGCGACTACTGGTGCTTTCACGACTGTGGCTCGACCTACTGCTGTGACCTGTCAGGAGGTCTTTCATCGCCTGGATAGCGCTGGTCTTTTGCTTGCGGGATCTCTCCCTAGTCGCTGTCGCCGATTTTCGATGTCTAGACGGAGCTTTTTCCGCGGCAGGCTCAGGTTCAGATCCAGGTCCTGGCTCAGGCGTTGCGCCCTGCGCCTCGAGCTCATGAAGTTCCAGGTGGAACGCTAGCTCATCAAGCTGGACAAGCTCACCGCAACCATCTTCTCGGCACACGACTGCTTCTGCGTTGTCGGTGAAGGGGGACTGTTCACCGTCTGGGTGATGTTTCTCGATATGCTGCTAGTCAAGGGAAGCATGTCTTAGTTTCAACTCCAAGGAAAGCAGCGGCTAGAAGATCGGCAAAGACACACTAAAAGAAGTTCAGGCTCTCCTTGTTCCGGCTCAAAGCCGCAAAAGGGGCAAGGATTTGTGTCGGGCATCTGGAGAAATGTTCCTTCCAATATGGAGATAGATAGAAGGACTGATGAACTGTGCGAAGAAACTGAAGCAGAAATGAGGAGTTGAGAATACTGAATATTAAAAGCGTCTACAATTTTTTGTATGCAGTAAGTCCTTTGTTGCCGTTGTTTTTTGCCCCGTAACAATAGAAGGTGCAGCGTCAGGCAAGGAACAAAGATTAAAAAGAAAGAGAGAGTTGGGCTTGGGCGCGGTGAGATGTCAAGTTGAGGCTGTGAATGGTGGCACACGTATCCGTCCTACGCACTTGCCTTGGGTACGGTGTTGTAAGGCCTGAACCATACAGGCAGGAGCGACACCCTTTCCTTTCTTTTACCCTAAACTTGACCTGAGCAACACTGAATCACCCAGTATCATCATCGGCTTCCATGTCTTAAAAACTAACAACCTATTAGACCGCCAATCTATCCTCGCCAACTCACAAAACCACATGGCTCAATGAGAACCTGCTTTATTTTAGTACAAAGAAGCGACCTGCGGATCTTCCCACAACAATGGTTTTCCATAACTACCTACTGTACAGTAGCGTCCCTGTCCCTCCCGGATGCTACCCTCTTGCATACCCGGGTTAACGCGACTCCGATAGCGGGACTGTCCGAATAGAGTCAAGACCCTTTCTAGCTAGATCGTGCATTTGCTCTCACATTCACATGATGGACCAGTGTTTTTAGTGACGCAGTGCAGTGCAGACCGCCCAAGGAGACAGGCCAGGGCAAACAATTATGGCTACTTTCCTGGGCCTAGACTAAGAAACAAGGCATTTCGAATTGTTGGGAACCAATTACCTGGCGAGCTGTCAATCGAACTGGGCTGGTCTGGCACCGAGAGGCTGGTGCCTCTAGATTCATTCTAGAAACAAGTCCAGGTACGTATCGGTAGTTGCACATCGCTGCATCCTTGCAAGTCCCGTCCCCTCTACGCCAAGGTCAGCATGTCAGTCAGTCATTCGAGGTTGGTCATGAATCAGGACATGCAGTCAAGCACGAGTCAGATAGGGAAAGAAAGAAGAGAGCAAGAGAGAGACAGAAATTTTCCAAGAGCAAACCCAAAAACCCTGACCCCCATTGATTTGTACCATATATACTCTAGTTGCAAAGGCAAGCAAAACGAGAAAGCAACGCAAGGATTCAAGCTGTACAGAGTACCGTGTGTGCCACTTGCAGCAACGGAGAATTTAACCAAAAGAGGGCGCTCATTCGCACATATCATGGCCCGTGTCCTGTCCTGTCCTATCCTGTCTAGCTGCCCTGTTCCTGACCTGAATCGCCTTGTGCCCTTGCGACCTCGTGGAACGATAAGGTCTTGGTCTTGTCTGGTGCTGGCTGGATTGGACTGAACTGGGCTTGACTTGTGGACCGCCCCGCGGCCCCAAATCAATCAATCATCGTGATCGTGATCGTTTGGCAGAATGTGCCTCTAGAAACATGTTTGCGATTCCTTTTACATCAGAATGCAGTTGCTCTTGGCGGGTGCCTCGCCAGGGTTCTGCGACTTCTCAATCTGTCCGATCAAGAGCTCGAAGGCTTTGCCGACGTTCTCGTTGTATCGTGCGCTCGCCTCGGTCCAGCCGCATTGAATCTTTTCGGAGAGCTTCTGTCCATCTTCAGGAGTGACCTGTCGTTGCTCGGGTCGCAAGTCGCTCTTGTTGCCGACAATGCAGATAGGAACGGAGTCAGTACCCTAGACGATGAGATTTTGGTTAGCTTGGTTGAAGCCCTTACTCGCATAACTGAGAGCACTCACCAAGTGGTTCAGAATCTTTTCACGAATGACCTGCACCATCTCGAAAGACGGCAGTGATGACACCGAATAGACGAGCATGTAGCCATGGATGCCGATAAAGTGCTTGGAGTTGAGAATACTGTACTCGTCCTGGCCTGCTGTGTCGACGATTTCGGTCGAGTAATCTTGTCCCTTGTACTTGATCATTTTGCTAAAGGTATTCTCGATCGTGGGATAGTAGCTGTCGACGAAGTGACCGTCAACGAATCGTACCGCTAGAGACGACTTGCCTATTTACGAATACTGTCAGTGAATTGAACGATCGAAAGAAAGGCAATTGTGCAAAGCCATCAACGGATCAAAATACTCACCGACGGAGCGGCTGCCGACAATAGCGACCTTTCTTTGCTTGGGAGAAGGCATGGTGCAACGAAAGAGGAGTGAAACAGAGTTTAAGCTGCTTATTTAATTGTTGAACGTCGTGTGATTATTTGCACCTGAATGATGCACGTCAGGGCGTACAGAAAGTGAGACCAACAGCTGAGTGATAGGAAGAAGGCAGAAAATTTAAGTAAACGAGTGCTGTTGATGACGACGATGAACTTGGACGTGGATGCGAATGTGAATGTGAGTGTATGATGTGTAACTAAAAAAAGGCCTGGAACTTCAGGTGCACGTCAAGTTTGGATGCAACTGCAAGGTCAAGCTACTGTACTGTAAAAGCCAACCAAAGAGCCAAGCCAAACCTGGGTAAGAGTGACGGAACTTCCTAAAAGACATTCCTGACGAGTGAGATGGAAGGGATTCAATCCAATGACAGGTGCAGTACAGAGTACCCCCCACCGGATCTGCTCTGCGGGCATCCTTCCATCCCCTCCAAAGACAAACCCCTCCCCCTCCCTTTTGCATCATAGGCCCTTTTTGGTGGTGACGCGTGAACTTGAATGACCTCTTCATAAGATGCATAATAGTTATGCATATAATTGGACCATGATGAGCCTCAATAGAATCACCCTGAACTTGGGATGATATCAAGATTGGTATTGCAGTATTCAGTTTGTCTAGCGATTTATATTTGGCTCTTGTCTAAGAACAGCTCGACTGGCCTAAGCCCAGGCCCTTATACCAGCACTGGCTCTGCCTCAAATCATGATATAAGCTAAAAGGGTTGTACTCAGAACAATATCACCCAGATGCGCATCCTCCCTATCCATATTCCTGTTTGGTATAGTCCATTAATGTCGTTGCCGTCGTTGTAAGTCATTGACAAGTCCTTCAAGCTCAGTCACCTTGTTATCAACCTCTTTGTACATGGCGATAAACTCCTTTATCGACCCAATAAGGCTTGGAAGCCCTTCTCTTCCTGCCTGCTCTGCGAATCGTTGCCGGGCTGCGTCTACCAGAGACAAATAGCCTAGCAAGATGGAAAGATAGCCAAATGCCACGCCAAGCTTTGCTACGCCTGGTTTCAAGTTTTCTTCCGAAGCAGCCTTTATTAAGAACGTTAGCGTATGTAAGTTAAAGTCATTGGGTTGTGTGGTTTTACCTTTTGCATCAGAACCCGGTACTGCAAGTATACAGCCACCAGGCCATCCAGTTGCTCGCCCGCAATATTCTCTCGTGCGTGTGGACAGTACTCTAGGATGTTGATGCCCATGCCAAGTACCAGCAGAAGTCCATCATATGTTTCTTCTTTTAGACGCGGACTGTTCATCGTGTCCAGGGCCGATTTGAAGCCTGAGAGAATGACTTGAGAAAGACTCGTCAACAGAATTATGTCGCTAAAAGCTGCTGCTCCGTGTGCCGTGTTGGACATATTGATTGACAACTTGAGGATTGCTGTCTCAATATCACCCGGCTTTTCTGGCCACTGCTGTAGACTGTTCTCGAGAAGACGAGCCACGTGGTGCGTCTGCTGCGCAACCCAAGAAATCTCATGCTCATCGTTCATTGCCAGCCCAGACTGAGATTCCAATATTGATACCACGAGAGCAAATGCTGCGTCAGTTCTTGGATCTGCCTTCACACAATTTCCGACGACGAGCTCAAGATCATTTTCGACACCCTTGACAACAACTGATGAATGCATTGCGTCGATTCGTTGGCATACAATGTTTAGTAGTTGCAGTGCAAGTGTTTGGGGCGAGAGCTTCTCAGGACGGCGTCCGTGCCAAATGTTCAGCTTTGTTAGGATTTTCTTTACCTCACTGAGTGAGTTTCTAGTTGTCTTGGAGAGTCTCATCTTGCCTGCGGCGATCTCATCAATGTCTTCGGGCACTCGTAGAAGCACACTAAGCAGCTCACTGAGCCCGTCGTTAACGAGCTGCTGTAGCAAGTGAGCCGCAGAGCTGAAGTTAAGGAATATGACGAGGACTGCTGAGAGGGCGAACCCGCTTATCACGTCCTTCTCCTGTCCGATATTAGCGGCGACTTTATCGCGCGTTGCGTGGTCACGAAATTGGCTGATGAATTCTTTGCGCTGTAGCTTCTGGGAAAGCTCCAATAATGCGCTTCTCCTCAAAGAAGACGGATTGCTGCTAGGGGTTCCTATCCGAGCAAGCAGATCCTCCATCTCATCGGCGAAGCGATTATTTGCCCCAGCTCGCCGTAGCTCATGCACGCTCTTAATTGCAGGTCGAATACCGTCATCTCCCATATCGTCATCGTCGTCTAGGCCAAACGGATCCGGGTTGATGGGCTCTGGGGGCGTAGCCAAGAGCGCATCCAGCTCTTCCTCAGTAGTGGCCATACCCATCCCCATTCCCTGGCTGGCCTCGCTAAGTTTTGAAGAGGATTCGCTCAGGATTGACCGTGATTGGCCGTACGTATATTTGACTCGTCGTCCTTTGAGTGCTGCTGCAGGGCGATTTCTCTGCCACATTGTCGAATCTTGGGATTGATTTTGCGATTGCGAGTTGTTTTGTGACTGCGACTGCGACTGAGACTGAGACTGGGACTGGGACTCTGACTCTGACTGTTGAGAATGCGTTACGCCTCCGTGGCCTGTGCCGGCATTTGAAGATGATGGAGGCCTGGTTTCCTCTATTTCAGGGGCCGAGTCTTCCGAATCCGTGTCGGCTCGTTGAGCAGCCAAAGCATCGATAAGTCGGGGACGTCTCTTCTTTGGTCTCGGCGGCTCATCGTCGCGACTCTTGAATGCAGGTGGCGCAATTTTGGAGCTGGTCTCAATGTTTGAGATATCAGACTTGCTTCGAGGCAAGGGCCGAGATCGCGCGATCTTGTCTTTGGGGCTCTTTTTCGTGATTGGCGAGCGGCGTGGCGCAGCGGCTTTTCCTTCGTTCTCTGAAGTCCCTCCTAATGGTCGTCGTGGTAGTGTAGCTGTAGAATTGGATAGTTTCTGAGGGATAGATGTTGGCTCCTCTCCGATTGCTTCAGGAAGCGCAGCTTGCTGTCGTTTTCGTTTTTTGGTATCTGTCGTATCGTGTGTCTCTGCTTTGAGCTCTTTCCCCAGTCTTGCACCGTTTGGTTCATTGGATCGACTGCCGACAGGAGATTGGGGCGATGGATCCGATGTTGATCTCGAAAATGATAGCTTCGATTGTTTTGGAACAGACTCGTCAGCAGCGCCAGGGCGGTTGGTTGGCGCAGAGAATGATTCGGCAGCTCGGAGGGGCATCGCGTCGCGCATGAAGCGCTTGCGCGAAGGTTTGCCATATGTCACGATCTTTCGCGGGACAGGCGCGGCCGGGCCATTTTGCGAAGCCATACTGGGCTTGGTTCTGAGTTTGTGGGGAGGACGCGACAGAAGTTGTGGTTGGGTTAGTTGGATAAGGTTAGGTTATGAAGAGGCCTATGATAGGCATAAGTAAAGGTATGATGACGATGTCAGCGTTGGAACCCGCCTCTATTTGTAGTTGACAGGCATGCGGCACGTTGCTACAGGTGCGGGTGCATTGAAAAGGATGGAATGAGGAGGCTCAGATGAGGCAAGAAGAATGAATTGATGTGATTTCAAAGGTTTTGTCAGTGAATCACAGTCACAGTCAGGGAAGGTTCCATTGATGGCTCATTGAAGGTAGGTTCCAATGCAGGCAGCTTTAGTGTGGCTCTTTGCCTCTATCTTTAGTGAAAGCTTAGGTAGGTCACTCTAGCCATTAATAAAGGTGAATGCTAAAAACAGCTCCTCTTGAAACAAGATCAACGGGACAACAAAGGTTAATGATTGGATTTGTGTTACACGACAGCACGTTCATTGATCATTGATTCTGTTTGAGCAGCGCAATGAAGGTGCAACAATTGCTCTCTCTTTTCATCTCCACTGTTATCAATTAAATTTAACTACTAACCAAATCGAACTTGAATCCATCCTTGTCAATGTTTACGGTCACCTCCGATATTCTACTGTAAATCTGAGCTTTGTAGGGTAGGGTCTTCCCCGCTGTTGGCCGATTGACATCCCCGTTTTGCGCATATGCATGTGGCTTCGTTAACCATGCCTAGGGACCTACTACCTTGGGTAAAGCTACTAATAGATTCTCTTATCCTCGGGACTTATTATATTGATAACAAGCTGAGATCTTCTCTTACACATCCAATCTTGTACTCGGATTCTCGTATCGGGCTAAACAGTCCATTCCTTGTTCACACTTATAGCTTCGATTCGACTGTTGCTTGCTCCGCTTGCCCACTCATAAATATTTGATCTGTGCAGCAAACCAAACCAAACCCCCGCCATTTATCAAATCATCTTCATCTCTACCAACCTCAAATCAAACATCATAACTTACCTAACATTACAGCTAACAAACATGGCTGACAAGACCCAAGATGCTCACACGACACCCGTCGGTCCCTCATACCGTACTCACCAGCAGAAGCCCAGTGCCACCGTTTCTGTCGACGTCAATCTAGACAATGTCCATGTCCTGCCTCAGACCCCTCAGCTTATTGCCCTACTGTCGTATGTCCACTTCCCTAATCGGGCACCTACACCTACAATATGTCGTGGAGCTGAGAATATCCCAGGATGATCCGTAGCAAAGAGACGGATCGAGCAGACTTTATCTTTTACTCCAACCGAATTATTCGTCTGCTTGTCGAGGAAGGCCTTAACCACCTGCCCGTCATTGAGCACACTGTCACTACGCCTATTGGCCGTACCTACAATGGTCTCATGTTCCAGGGCAAGATTTGCGGTGTGTCTATCATGAGAGCTGGTGAGGCTATGGAGCAGGGTCTTCGCGACTGCTGCCGCTCTGTTCGTATTGGAAAGATCTTGATCCAGCGTGACGAGGAAACCGCCCAGCCCAAGCTTTTCTACGATAAGTTGCCCGAGGACATTGCTGACCGATGGGTGCTTCTTCTGGATCCCATGTTTGCCACTGGTAGGACAACATCCCGTCCTTGTTCTACAAATTGTCCATGCCGCAACCCGTCTAACGCAATCGTACAGGTGGCTCCGCAACCATGGCTGTCCAAGTTCTCAAGGCTCGAGGCGTGCCGGAGGAACACATCCTGTTCCTCAACTTGATTGCCAGCCCCGAAGGCGTCAAGAACTTTTCTGCCAAGTTCCCTCGCTTGAGGGTCGTGACGGCTTTCATCGATGAGGTTCGCCATCTCGCTTGCTCGTATCTCTGTAGACACTTGACTAACCCGCTTTTTCTAGGGCCTCGACGAGAAGAAGTATGGAGATTCGTTCCACCTGATACGTGTACTGACCATTCGACAGCTATATCGTTCCTGGACTGGGAGACTTTGGAGACAGATTTTATACCATCTAATGGCGGAATCATTGCAGTGGTCATATATCATAACGAGTCGCAAGCGCAAGGCAGGGGTTTGTCGAGCAAAGGACGTAGCAAATGTTGGTATTGTTACAGGGCGCGTAAAAGAAACATTTAATAATCATCATCTCCGTATTGGTCGTCGTAGTCTTCCTCGACCGCCGTTCGGTTGCCTCGTCCAGCTCCTCCTCGAGATGTGCCACCGTAGCCAGGCTCGGCGTTGTCTTCCTTAGCGACGGCATCTGGTAAAAAGTCAGTCGCTGTTGATAGAGTCGCGCGTAAAGTGTTGTAGGCGTACCGGCCGCGTCAACCCATTCACCGTAAACGTCAACCGCAGCAGATAGATCTGTCGCCAAGTCAGTAAGGCGATGCGCCTGATGTAAAAGATGTTGGTAGCTGAGGCCGTACAGTTGACTGCGCATTGGAATTTTTGACCGCAGACACGGCAGTCTAGTTGACCAACACCAGCTTTCTTATCGAGCTTGACCGAAACCGAGTTTTCGTGGTTGCAGAAGAGGCATGCGAATGTGGTGGGAAGAGGGTCTTTCTGGGATTAGTGTAGTGTGAGCGCAAAAGTCATTGAGGAGAAAGACAATGAGAACAGATGCGACGAACCTTCTTAGGCCCCATGGGCTTACTCGAAGACTTGCGCTTGCCCATAGTGTGTGTGTCGTGATTCGTGCGCGACTGGAGAGTGGAATAAAAGAGGTAGAGACAAGCAAACGAAACGAAGCGAGAGAATGCGAAAAGATGGCAGTGGATCGGACTTGTCTGATGTCAAGCCTTGGGTTTAGCACAACTTGACTCTAGGACAAGGCACCAGTCAGGGATGATGGCGCGTTATCTTATCAGCTCCAGCGCGGCCAAACTCTTGGATTTTGGCACGTGCCTCAATTTGTTGCACTCGCCCAAACGTATTTGTTAGTGCACAAGCGCGCGGCTGTGGAATGGGAGGGGTGTCTTTAATGCAGCGTGAAAAGAGCAGAGAGAACAGTGGGGCTACTGTTAAGCGGGAAGAGGTACCGGATGCCCCGCCCCCGCCTCCCGGCGACCTCCGGGGGTTTAACACTCGACGCCGGGTTCCGTGAGATTGGAGTCAAGAGTGAGTGATGCATTCTTATCAGACTCATAGGAAGGAGAGAAAACAGTCTACGTTTCTGAGAGTTGAATCTCTGGAGAGATGAGAATTCTTTGTTCCTTTTCTGAATCATACACCGAATACATGCAAGCAGGGACCCAAGACAAGGCTTAAGACGGTGAGAGAACTAAGACACTCGAGCAAACAGTCAAAGAGCATCGTCCCGGGCTTGCATAAGACCTAGAGTGTAGAGTGTCAACGATAGGCCATCACCGTCATAATTAGTCTCACTTGGGCACCACTGCTTCACCTCCTAAACTACCCAGACGCAGGGGAGTTACCTTTCCCTTTGATATGGCGGGGTAGCGTAGCTCTAACTGCTAGTCAGTGGGGACTTATAGTGAGGCTTCCATCCTTATCATGTGGCCTCTTATCAGCGAATCGTGAACTGTCAATTGCCTGTAGAGTACAGAGTAGATTATGGCCATTAGACACTGTACCTATCATGACTTCTCCATGTTGGGACAGCTCCCCTCTCTTGTCTTCTCCTCTTCTCTCCTCTCTGCTGTACAACATCCATGCTAGCCCGATTACGGTGTCCCGTTACATGAAAGTTATGATCTTATAGGGGCTCTTCCCGCTGACCTGCTGACCTTGGAGGTGACAGATGAGGTTAGGGTCGTACATCTAGGATGCCTTTATCTTGATATCTACAAATTATGTATCATCTGAAGCTTTTGGAGGTTGGGCCTGCAGCCTGCCACAGCTCCCCTGTACATGACGGTTGTTGAAGAGCTCGTGTCACCATGTATTCCGCCGACCGCTCTTCCCGTTGTTCCGCCCTGCAATTTATTTTCCTTTTCTTGTCTGCTTATGAAAGAACCCTCTTCTCTTTTCTTCTTTCATCCATATCTTTTCCATACGTGTCTTTCATCTCTTCATTCAGTTGTTCACAATTGCAGCGACTGAACCTTGAATACCCTGTAGATACGCGTCCAATTCAACACTTACAACATTTCCCAACGCCATCATGGCTGCCAACGATCAGCAGTCCGATATGCTTGAAGCTCTACAGGAGATTCAGCGCACTCAAGCCCTACTCGTTAATGCGGTCGAATCACTTTCGGGTAGATCGATCGAGGATACTTCTGGAGACCAGGCCAAGAACAACATTCTTGATCTCGGTTCTCGTGAGGATGGCGAGGGGGAAACGCCTTCAGTAGAAGTTCCTGTTGCTTCTGGGGACAAATTGAAAGCTCCTGCGCCCCCTTCTGAAGGACAGCGCCAGCAAACCTTCACTTCGCGCATTATTCTAACGTGAGGATTTCCTCACCACCAACTTGACTAACACGGATCGCTCACACAAGGTAACTAGGACTTACCCAAAGCAGATTGGAATTAACCCTTTGCCTATGGACTGGGGAAACTCAGACCCCGTTAAGCGTGGCCCAATCGTAGTTTCAAGGGCTGGTTCTACTATTCGACGTCGTAATGGTTCGTTTGCCCGTGCCTGTAATCGCATGTGTGAGTTTGTGTTACTGACATTCGTAACCTGTGTATAGCTGTTGGAGGTTCGTTGTGTATCCTATTCTACTGACTTGATCCTTTGTTAACCAGAACGTTTAGCCCAGTAAGTCTCTACGTTACGTTGTTTGGAGAGAGACTATACTAAACAGAATTATAGTGGTGGTTCGTACTCGATTTACTACGCCCTTGCAGTCGCCAGCAACGAATTGAACGCCGATCACCGGTTTGTCTCCTCGCTCGAACAGAAAAGCTACGTTACTGACAGAAATACCAACAGACCCGACTTCACCAACACCGAGCCGGCCGCCAACATTGGTCCCTTTCCTCAATGGGGAGACCACAAGAAGATTGTTGCCATGGATCCCTGGGGACATCTTGCTCCATGGCTGTTCAAGGACACCATTGAGAAAGACAATGGTGAGCAAAGAAGGGATATATATAATATGGATATAAGTCATGCTGATAACTTTCTTAGTCGACATTCGACCGACTATTGCCATCACCAAAGCTCACATGAAGGTGAGTGTTCGAACGACTGAAGAATCTGGGATGCATACGCTAACGAACTCTCGATAGCTACCTGAACTCGCAGAGAGTGTGAAGGCCGGTCGATTGTGAGTCTGAGTTGGTCTTTTTACCTTGCGCCAGTCAACTAATCGATTATAGGGTGCCTGATGGTAAAGTCTGCCTGAACGATCAGGGTGAATTGGCAGTCACGAAATTTGCGGTCGAGCCGGTATGATCTTCCGATATCATGAGAGGAAGGCGCGACTGATGTTGAGATTTTAGGTCTGGTACCTGCCTGGCGTAGCAGAACGATTTGGTATCGGTAAGAGCGCAACTACAACTTGGTTTCATCTCGTACAAGTATTGACATGGTTTAGATGAGGCGACTCTTCGACGTTCGCTGTTTGAACATACTGGTGGAAGTTATCCAGAGGTAGGTCGAGGTCAAAGTCTGCTGTCATGGAGACTGTAAACTGACTTGTCCAAGCTCATCACTCGTGGAGACATCAAAGTCTTCCTCCCACCTATTGGTAAGTCTTGAATCGGTCTACATCAATTGCCCTGGCTAACTTGTTGATTCCAGGTGGTCTTACCGTCTACTGTTTCGGAGACCCAGCAAAGATGTCGGACGAGTCGGTTCGATTGTCTCTTCGAATTCACGACGAGGTATGTCCAGCTGAAAGAATCTTAGTATGTCCAGGCCAGCTAATTGGCGAATAGTGCAACGGTAGCGACGTATTCGGATCAGATATTTGCACTTGCCGACCGTACTTGATCTTCGGTATCGAGGAAGCCGTCAAGGAGGCACAGAACGGTGGTAGTGGTGTTGTCATCTACTTTAGAAAGGAAGGCCGAGCCTTGGGAGAAGTGACCAAGGTAAGTTTGCTGATCACTTTGCCAGTCAAGAAAGTGGATCTAACCATGTCGGCAGTATTGTAAGGACGAATTCCCCTCCCATCCCGTCCGGATGAGCAGCAACCTGCATGTAGATCTGGGGTACTAATACTGGGGCAGTGGTCTACAACGCCCGTAAACGCGGAGCTGATCGCGCATCGGACTACTTCAAGAGGACCGAGAACATTGCCGGTGTTAAGGACATGCGATTCCAGGCTCTCATGCCTGACATTCTGCACTGGCTAGGCATCAAGAAGATTGACAGGATGCTGAGCATGAGCAAGTGAGCGTTTGATGATCGAACACGTCGAGATGACAGACGGCTGACTATATCTTTAGCATGAAGCATGATGCGATTGTCGGACAAGGGTAAGCTGATAGAGGCTGACGAGTCGGACGAGTCATTGTCGATGCATGATTAACTAATATGGCTGTAGAATTCCGATTCACGAAAGAGTCGAGCTTCCTGAGGAGCTGATACCAGCCGATTCGAGAGTCGAGATTGACGCAAAGATCACAGCAGGTGAGTAGTCGAGGCCCAGAGTTCTACAAGCAAGACGGAAACTAACGGAGATCGACAAGGTTACTTTACCACCGGTAAACGTATGACAACCGAAGAGCTGCAGGCGGTCCAAGGAAGAATATGGGAAGAGTAAGTATTCTGACAGTACCATGCGGAGTAAAGCAATAAACTGATGACTGTGGCAGCTTTGATCATTAAAGCAAGTCAAATCAAATCAAAGCCAAGGCGGACGGATAGATACGGACGGAGGGACAAGACAGAAGAGGACAGACGTGGCGGGGTGCGTCAGCTTGTTCCCAAGTTTGCATGTTTCTGCAGGTCGGTCTGAGCCGTTTTGCGTGGGGGAAGCATCTTGATTGCTCCAAATCCATACGATGGCCGCGATGCCACGGTACCATCCCATCGTGGTGTTGGGGCTGAGCGTCCCGAACGAGGTACCCGGTCAAGGCTTTGGGTGGTGCAGGGCAAATCGGAGGATATGTTTGACCACCATCACCTGTTTAGGCGTCGTTTTGATACATTTGTAGAGGTTGCGAGATTTGAAGATGGACGTTGCAGTTGAGAAGTGGAACTCTGTAGTCTAGAGTAGAGTACGGATAGGTAGACGAGATGATTATTCCAACAGAGTTAGCACCGAATAATATTATGGGCCGCGACACCTTTAGTAACTGTAAGAGGCCCCGTAGTTCTTAACCGGTGAGGCGGTCACCGGACGCAAAATGAGTGAGCTGTACAGAGTAGAGTCAGAGTTGAAGGGTCCATCCGTCTGTTATCTGTAACATGAGAAATTTAATTGCTGCGACTCTTCTTGTATGGATGTCCCTTGCCAGTGAGTGGTTCTTGTCAAGGTACAGTGCCTAATCTCAGGCATCTATCCATGGCAGCGTACATACATGATACACGTGTAGGGCTTGTCTTGTGGTCACGGGCATGATCATGTATGACAGGTATTGGGTCGGTATGGAGTACATGAGTTAGTTTAAGCATGGACCAAGGGGAGAGAGAACAAACTGCACGAGGCGGAGAGACGAGATTAATTAATTACAACAGACCAGACAGCCTTGTATAGAGTAGAGACTCAAGAGTTAAATTGATTTAAATCTCAAAGATTCTATTATTATCACTGAGCGAAATACTCCGAAAGTTGGGTTGTCTACCCTTGCTTGTTGTGTTAGTTAGAGCACGATGACCGATTCATCAGAATGACAATGTCTATCCCAATAGAGAGAGTATAACCATGGAATCCATGTTGACATGCGACAATATGCGGTGCGATGTGATGTTACTGTACTCTGTACTCTGTACTGTACTGTATACGTATGCTGGGGCTGTCGAGATGATTGAATGAGACTAATTAATGATTGATGATTGTCCCGGATTGACATGGAAATCCATCTTGGCCTCAGGAACGAGATGAGGCCCTCCAGCGAAATGAGAGATGATAGTCAACTAATTATTCCCTTGTTCCCGCTTCTACGGATACGGACCATCGCATCACACACCCATCATCCTGCTTTTTACGTGGTGATGGTCATACAGCCCCTACACCATCAATTAAAGAGCCAATAACGCTAAAGGGACTTGGCCCAACCGTTTTCTGACATTTTTCTGGTCTTGTTTCCCCTCCCAAGTCAAGGAAGGTTTAGCACTGACATTCGATTGTGCGCGTCCATCGGAGGAGATCGAGAGGATGGATTGTCAGTTTGTTTTGATTTCCTTGGAAAATAAACAATTGTGTAGTCGTTTATCTGCACGGCAGTTTAACCGTTGCTCTGCCCATTAAAGCGGTATGCACATTGACGACCAGTTGGGTAGCAATGCGACAGTAGCTTGACAACTATTCCCATAGTTTTGCCTTACCGCCAGAAAGTAAAGACGTTTGTGACCACGTTCCATGGGCTCCGCTGGGTCCGAAAGAAGACCAAGTGCCTCATCAGGGCGAGTCATCACTGGCTTTACAGGCTACAAGCCCCAGACCCGAGTACCCAGGTACACCTGCACCCCTGTAAACCACCAACGGGAAACCCGCCTGCGGTCCCCGGGGCCCGCGCAAGCCTAAAAAAGGGCCCAGGGGTACAAGATGGAAAGGCCATACACCTCGAGACAGCGCAGCACAGCACAGCAAAAGCCCACGCACACTCTTTCAAATCAGTCAGTCTGCCAGATGTAGCCATAAGCCGACGACAAGTGGCAATCAGATGCCAACGTGCAGAATCTATCTGTACCTTTAACCTGTACCTATACCCTGCGCTGGGCATACGTGCTTCCATTCTATGAGGCATATGGACTCTACTGACCCCTGCTACACCATGAGTTTGCTCAACTTGCGGTGCACACACACGCATGCAAGACAATGCCACATCGTCTAACCCTTGTCTTCTGCATGCCCTGCTCGTCTTTACTTTACTTAGCTTACCCGCTGTGGACTAACCGTAGCCGTGGTAGCTTAGCTCTGGCACCACGAGGAGGTTGATGTGGATGCCTTGATTGATGCGTTGCACTATTCATATGTATATTGAACCTTCTGCCAGCACATCCGGCCCCGTTCAATCCTTCTCTCGTTTCTGTTATTATTCTTCATCTTGTCCTCAAATGTGAAGCCATCTTCTTCCTTCACTCAACATCAACATACCAACTTACAATCACTCACTCACTACTCAACAACAACTACACAACAATGGCCTCTTACACTCGAGACAGCCGAAGTGCGGTGAGAGCTCAACGACGAGACTCTTCATCTTCATCATCTTCACACACAATGTCAAACCGTCAAAGACCACGCCTTCTACGCTCAAGTGCAACTGAACCTTCAATCACCGTCTCCAATGCTACTGGAAACTCATTTGCTGGTCCTGAGTCGCCACATAGAGCAACTGATCTTCTCAACCGTGTTGCCGTCTATTCTCCGTCTCCCGAGCCCGCCTCCACTCCAGCTGCCATCCCACGCCATTCTGGACCCATGTCCATCTGCCGTGATCATCGCGAGCATTCTCCTTCCAGCAGCCCTGGAAGTCAATCCGTCGCCATGTCCGACTCTCCTTCCGGTATGATTTGCAGATTCATCACGAACTCACCACAAACTGACAATATCAAAGGTTACTACTTCAGCTTCCCCAGCTTTGAGGAATGGAACACAGAACACCAGGACGACATGGCCAAGGACTCTGATGATTGAGCGGTGGCGGAAAAGATGGTGAGGGGATCGAGACCAAAGACCTCAAACCGAACAAGGACACACGACAACATCACAACACAACACAGCGACATCAACACCGCTAAACTAAACTCATAACGAGTTAGCATCTAATGGTTTTCGCTCATGGCTATGGCTCAAAGAAGAGCCATTGGCAGCGAAGCCACAAACCCCATTGAAAGCAGCAATGCATCGCCTACCAACAACCCACGCCAAAACTCTCACTAAAGATGAGATGAGTCGAGAATGAGATTGTGGCGGGCTGAATGCGCTTTGGGACTAAGGTTTATCTTGGGTGGATCATGGCAAAAGGCTTCTTGGTAGAAGAGAAGCGACGCTTGAAGCCAAGCGATGCACGATGAGATGAATGAGGAATAGTTTCACTCCCCAAAAAAGGTGGAGTTGAAAGGGAAACCGAAGAGTCTGGGTGAAGCTTAAAAACCCCATTGACCTCGACTACGAATCCAGAACGCTTTAGATCCTATTTGGACAAAGCCAATCGAAAAAACAGAAAGGAAAACAACAAAAAAACAACAAAAAAACAGACAAACAATGTACAGCACGGAAACTCAGTTCGATCTCATAATCTATAAATCCTAGTTGCCAAGTATATAAAAATAAGATATGACATATCTCAATGTTGAAGGATTCTCGCATAAAAAAATAAAAAAAGAGTGACGACGTCGTAAGCCGCAATTCTTGTTTTGGTGCCGTGTCTCACAGCCGAGACGAAAGGGACTATCGCTACACTACACTACTGTACACCGGATGCCGTATCAAACATCCCGTTAACCCTGAGGTCACAGTGCATAAGTCCAACTTCCCTGAAACCCGCTGATCAAACCAAGATGTGGCCGGACATTTTATGCGATCATTCTCATTCTCAGATACTTATCAACACCAAACACTTAACATATCTATTGTTTAGGTGGCTCTGCTAATACCTTGCTTAGCAATGTTTCGTAATCCATTCGACGTCATTCATTAAGAGATCCTCTATCACCAACCACCTCACGATGATCTCTTGGCTTCAGCCCTCTTCTGTCTAATCGCTGTACTACTGATCTTAGCTGCAAAGTCATCCGTCTTACTCACCCCTTCCTCAGCAATCTCATCAGCATCAAGCACATCAATCTCAAACACCTCAAGTGGCTTCCAACCCTTTTCTGTCCTACGATCATTGATCGCCTTGCCGCCGCTGCGAGTCTCGCCAGAAACAACAATCGCATCGGCATCTTCCTCGTGAACAGGTGGGCCAAAAGGATCACGGAGTACTATACATCGCACTTTGACTCTTCCATCGCGAAGAGTGGCGATTGTCTCGTCCGGTGTGGTTTGTGTTGGAGGTGATGTAGCCGTTGTATCATACTCGAGTAATGTAGAGAGAAATGACAGAACGGTTTGAGTACGTTCTGTCCACGGCTGTAGCTCTTCTGCGTATTTCTTCTTCGCGAGTAGCTCATCGCTCGATATACCCACGATAAGTGTGCATGTCTTATCAGAGTCCTTGGGAGGAATGTTGAGAAGGAGGGCACTTGCATGAAGCAGTAATTTGTGGCCGGGATGTAGATGATCAAAGGTGCCGCCCAGACAGACGGTATTGAACCCTTGTCGTGGTTCTTCTGAAGAAAGCTTCTGCTCTGTTGTCAAGCTGATTCCACCTTCAATAGCCACAAGTTGATTCTGCGTAAATGTCTGTTTCTTTTCCGCAAGCTGAAGAAATGAAGATAATAACTCATATCCTTCTTCACAGCTGGGGTGATATACCATCTCCCATGATCTAACTTTTGTCGCAAACGCAGCTAAGTCCAACACAGCCGTGCAGTTCGCCTCAAATTGAGCCTCATAATTGGGCTCATAGCGTCGTCCTTTCTCATGATCAATGAGAATAACTCGCACATCCACACTCCCTTGTCCAGCTCCCACGTCAAGGGGGATATCTTCCTTTGCGCAGATAACTGATGTGAGAGTGTAAAGTCCCGCGAGAAGGGACTGAGCAGTTGACCATGCGATTTTCTTTGAGTTGGCTGATGGACCAGTAAGAATAGGGAGAGCAAGTCCGATTATGAGAGTTTGAGGAGAAGATGCGGACTTGAGCTTTTGAAGGACGGATGTTACAGGTGCGCGATAAGCAGCAGAGAGAGTTGATGGCGATGGAGGTTGAGGAGGTGAAGGCAGTAAGAGAAGTGAGGGAGCCATGATGAGATTCGTCTTGTTGTGAGAGTTGAGTTAAAATATGATGTTTGATTTGAGTCGGAACTATCTAGGTATGTTAAGTGAGCAGCCAGTTCGCAATAAACTCTCGTTGTGCAGGTATCGTATCATGAATACAATACAGCTTCCAATGGACAAAACAGCTGACGTAACTGACATTGGACTGAACTGTGGTTGGCTAAGGGGAGACAAGACTTCGGACACAAGACTCCAGCTAAGCAATTAGCATAGCAAAAAGAATATCAATGTTTTTTATTTATTTATTTAATATATAAAAATAGTAAGTAAATAATCACTAAGATTCTCTCTATTAAATAGTAGTCTTGTAGTAGTAGATAATTGCTAGTTCTAGATACTTTAATAGAGATCCTGCGTTTATTCCTGCGTCCGACGTCTTATTTCCCCCCGAGGGTTGGTAAGATAAGTGTGGCGCCTGCCAGTGGCGCGTAGGCCCACTCGACCGAGAAATTTGCAAAAGGAAGGAACGACCGGCACGTGACGGAGTGCTCTTGCCCTCAATTTTTTCCACTTTGATAAAAAAATTGTGGTTCAACTGTTCTTCCGGCTTCCGAAGTTCTGTGGAATTCGCTTAGACCTACTACTCACACAAAGATTGAAATTATCTCGCCCCTCCACCACTCTCTCACCAGTACCATCTCTCCAACGGTTCACATACAAGCCAGCAAACATGGCGGTTGGAAAGTGAGCATCACCCTCGACAAACAGCGATAAAGAAGACAAAGGGCTTACGCGATATTTCAGGAACAAGAGACTCTCCAAGGGCAAGAAGGGCCTCAAGAAGAAGACGGTCGACCCCTTCTCCCGAAAGGACTGGTACTCGATCAAGGTTGGTGATCTCGAATTCCGACGCGCATCAATTCATCAAGGCTAACTCGAATGATTCAGGCCCCTAACCCTTTCAACGTCCGAGAGTGAGTTGCGACCGCGAAACCGATAAAAATTTGACAACTCTGTGGGACATGGCGATTAACGATTTTTTACAGTGTCGGCAAGACCCTCGTGAACCGAACCACCGGTCTCAAGAACGCCAACGACGCTCTCAAGGGCCGTATCCTCGAGGTCTCTCTGGCCGATCTCCAGAAGGATGAGGACCACTCCTTCCGAAAGGTCCGCCTCCGCATCGACGAGGTCCAGGGCAAGAACTGCTTGACCGCTTTCCACGGTCTCGACTTCACCTCCGACAAGCTCCGATCTCTTGTCCGAAAGTGGCAGACCCTCATTGAGGCCAACGTCACTGTCAAGACTACCGACGACTACCTCATCCGCCTCTTCGCCATCGGTTTCACCAAGCGACGAGGAAACCAGGTCAAGAAGACCACATACGCCGCCTCTTCTCAGATCCGTGCCATCCGACGCAAGATGACCGACATCATCCAGCGTGAGGCTTCAAGCTGCACCCTCACCCAGCTTACCTCCAAGCTCATTCCCGAGGTCATTGGCCGCGAGATTGAGAAGTCCACCCAGGGCATCTACCCTCTCCAGAACGTGAGTAGATACCTTGTCTCTGGCCACCGTCAAACTTCTCAAGCTAACACACACATCACAGGTCCACATCCGAAAGGTCAAGCTTCTCAAGGCTCCCAAGTTCGACCTTGGTGCCTTGATGGCTCTGCACGGCGAGTCAGGTACCGATGACCAGGGTCAGAAGGTTGAGCGTGAGTTCAAGGAGCGTGTCCTCGAGGAGGTTTAAAAGGATTATTTTGGCAGGTTGGCGCGGGGTAGGCAATAGGGGCCTCGCGGCGAATAAACTCATCCCTACCAAATTGTTTCGGTCGTCAAATGGCGTAGCATCACAAAAGGGAGCTCGGGGATTGGTTCATGTTCCTTTGAATGGTAAAAACAAACGTTCAGTCAACACGCCGAATGATTTATGACGTGTGACTTGTTACGAATCGGATGCTGTGATGATCTAGCACTGGTCGTGAGGGACATTGTAAGATGAGCGCCGTAGTAGAAATCCACCCTGATACCCCCCCGAATTGCCCACATTGATTGCATCCTTAAGTGCCAGCTAGCATTGTGTTTTTTCTGTTATCAGATATGTTGGTTTTATACGTGTAGCTTTGGGAAACCAGTATCACAAACTCATTCTATGAACTCATCACACTACGTCTTCCGGTTTGTGTTCACATATAATATTTTTTATGTCTATCTATTTGTTGTGTCAGGAATAGGGTAAGTCTACGGAGGCTATTGAAAATATTGTCCAAACTCGCCTCAATTAGTGGAACATGACCCTTAGACGGAGTTCAGCTGCGTCACTCAGGGTGCTGGAGAAACTCAACCACAGCTAACAAAGGTTAATATGCAAATCGGGTCCCTGTGCGAAGCAAAAATCACTTACCTTGTCTAAAAGCTTCGGGCTGCTCCGAGATGAGCCAGTGACCAGCATCAATATCGACAAGTCGGAACTTGGGGAAGAATTGTCCAATCAGAGGCAATACGTCATCCGGCACATACTTGCTCTGTGTACCTCGAACAAACAGAGCGGGCTTCTCGAAACGGACCTCGTTGGGGTTTTTGTAGGGGAAGTCTCCAAGGTTGTCCAATGCCTTACCAAGAACTCCGAGAGGGATACGGAACTTGCGCGTCTTCTCACCCTCGGGCATATGCATGTTGCCTAGAAGGAACTGTCGGATGGGCAAAGACTCCTCATACTCACTGAGAATCTTGTCGGCCTCAGATTGGCGTGTGACACCGGCTTCCTGGATTTTCTTCATAGCCCGGACGTATTTGGGGAAATCCCTGCTAAGGGAGACATCCACAGGCGCATTATCAACGGCAACGATGTCAGACACAAGTTCTGGAGAGCGAAGTGCCAGGGCCATCGAAGTTTTGGCTCCCCTGAGCGACGTCAGTTCCCTTCTCGACCACCTTCAAGTGATAGTGTCTTACATTGAGTGACCGATGAGAGTTGTATCCTTGAGACCATGGCCCTCAATGAACTCGGCTACATCCTGAGCCATGGCGGGATAGTCATGTCGATTAGCATGAGGCGACTCGCCATGATTTCTGAGATCCTGCGAGATGGCTTGAGTTACAATTGCTCTTTTTGGACTTGGGTGGTGTCGCATACCAAGGCGTATACATATCTTCCTAGATCTCGAGCCAGCGCTCTGGTTTTATTGTTAACTCATTGTACTTATAGTTGATGAGCCAGACTTACTTGCTGATAGCTCTATTGTTCTTCTTGGATCCAAAAAGACCGTGGAGGAAAAGAATAGGAGAGTTTCTCTTGTCTGTTTTGGGCTGCGCAGGCTCATGTAGATCGTATACCAAAGGGCCAACAGACTGGGAATAGAGTCTGGAGCTTACAGCTGTAGCTCGGAGACCCTGGCGCCCAGCCAATGGGGCTGTAGTCGTAACTACCCTTCGCAAAGAAAGCATGATTCTTATCACAGCAACTACTTGAAGACACTGAGCAAAGCCAATTAATTGTGTAGATCTCAAAATTGCCGTTTTTGGTAAAGCCTCACCGATTTGCACCGGTATACTGCATACTTGCATATCTAATCTAAGCACTATGATGTCACCCCAGCTATTGAACTTCCCAAGACAAACAATTCAACAACATTCAACCTTTTGTCCGAATAATGAAAACAAGCAGACCAAAAATAAAGAAAATTCAACAAAAACCCCCAAACAATGATTCTGTTCTCAGTATTCGATCTGTTGAGACAAACAGTAAGAGGAAAGATGTGAAAACGTGAAAAGAGTGTGGATGTACAAGGAAATATCCATGGCGATGAACAAAAGATGTACGGAGGAACAGCTTAACTATCCCAGATGGCACCAAAAGCCGGCAGACCGCGTGTCTCAAGACCGTACACGACCTTTTTGGTGATTTTTTCGTTTGCTATGATTATCACAGCTTCGGCCTCGAAACTCTTGGCTAGGTTGTAGCCCATTCGCACGAGATCTGGCCGACCCTGGGTTTTCGTATTCCAGATTACCGCGTCTGGAATAGCATCGCGGACTTGACCGACAAGCTCTTCACCAAAGGTTTCTTCGGGTCGCGGTGTGGACCAGATCAGCTGTGTAGGACATGGCTGCTTGACTATATGTCCCAGTAGCGGACCAATCCCCGAGCCTGTGGCGATAACCACGACACGGTTAAAGAGAGTTGAGATACGCATCACCCCACATGTCGGAACACCACGCACCCAAATCGTCTTGGGAGGATTCTGGACACAGGAACGCGTCCAATCGCCAGCATTAGAAACTACCAGCGAGTAGCCCTTGGCGTGATGGTTGGCCTCTGGGTTGGGTATCGTTGCAAACGAGTGCCATTCAATCAGTGGTCGCTGAGAGATGCGCGTGAAACTGCCATTCACAGGAACGGTATAATCAAAATGCAGTCGGACTGCATGATCAGAAAGCACTTCAGCCTCGACTGCCACCTTGCGCAAAAAGAACCACGAAGAGGCAATGCTGAGAGTTGCCACCACCAAGAGCCAGAAGTCTGGAGTCTTAACTGCGGCAAGCCCGAGATCTTGGTCACGAGGTCGAGAGTCATTGATGGCTAGAATCGTGCGGGCCCAAAACATACCCAGCGATGTCCAGCCAGCGAAACGGTGGAAACGCTCGAAGAGGTTATGATAGTACTTCCGGAACGAGGGCCATGCGGTGGCTACCATGGAACAAAGCAGTGCGCATAGAATCCATGATACGAACTGTGTCGCCAAGGAATCGGTCGCATGACTTTCGCAGAAACCTGCATTGCAGATTGTCCCACGGATCGTCGAGATGACTAGCCATGCAGTAGCACAAACACCTGCTCCAGAGTGCACACCACCCAGATGGTAAATCTTGGCGCATCGCACCCTCACCCAGAGGGGCAGTCTCTTTGGAACCGAGCAGAAGACTGTATACAGGATGTTGATTATTGTTTCTTGTCGCACCAGCACTGCGACTGCAAGATTGATAGCGGTAATGATACCCAACCACTCCGACTTGAGTTGGAGGAATATCACACATATCAATGCCGCCAAGTTGAGCAATGCGATCAAACTGAAAAGAGTACGATAGACGATGAAGATTCTCCGTCTTAACCCCCTGAGCAGTCGGGGCATTGTCTTATCAGGCATACCGCGTTCAAGATCCAACTTGTCCGACAGAGTTGTCAGAGTGGACATGGAAGATTGAGATTTGAGCTCAACATGAGCGTCTGGAACCTTCTCATTCTCGTATGATTGCGCTGCAGCGCTCTGTTTAACCAAGGCCAGTGCCTTGAGGCTATTCTTGTCGACTTTGCCGTTCGGTGTTGATGGCAACTCGTCCAAGAGGTGGAGGTGTGTCGGGACAGCATAATAGGGCTGGTGCTGCTGCATATGCTTGATCGTGGTGGTTACATCGCAGTTGCGTGGGGTGGTGAATCCATGGATCTCTCCGTCGATCAACAGCGTAGCCGCCTGAGACACACCAGGCGCTGATACCAGACATGCGGTCACGCCGTCTAGCTCTACACGGAAACCCTTTACTGAAGTCAGATGGGGATGGGAGCTCAAGTTTACTCTGATACGTACCTTGACTTTGACTTGGTCGTCAACTCGGCCGAGAATCTCGATTGAACCATCAGGCCGCCAGCGACCGAGGTCTCCAGTGCCGTATATCATCGATCTGGTTTTTGTGTCAGTGTTTACTCGAGCAGACCGGAAGAGGCTACTCACCCATCTCTGGCGAATGGGTCTGGCTTGTATCTCTCGGCGGTCTTGTCATCAAGCCCGATATACCCTCGAGATACTCCAAGACCACCAGCCCACATCACTCCAATGGTACCCATAGGCATTGGCTTGCCTTCGGTGTCGAGGATATATATTCTGTTGTTTGGGGTTGGTCTCCCAATCGACAACTCCTGTCCGACAATGTGCTTCTGCATGGTGTTCACTATCGTCGTTTCGGTTGGTCCGCAGCAGTTCCAATACGTGCCATGCTTTGCCCACAAGTCGGCAAGTCTGCAACAGTCAGTGACACGTAAAAGAATATGGCTTGAGAAGCGACATACCCTTTTGTGGTGGGCTCTCCGGCTGTGGCAACAGTTTTTATTCTAGAAAACTGTGTTGGGCGGTAGTTAGAAAGAATCGTTGGTGTGCAAATGAGCACATCGATCTATTTTGGCATAAGTTTGTGAGAATGCGTCGAGTGATGGGATTACCAACCTGTTCAAGAGTTTGTTTCCAATTGGATCCGCGAAGTACGAGGGTGCCCCCGTTGCAGAGGCAAACAAAGATTTCCCATGCAGCTATTTCGGGTCAGCATTGGCAACAATACGAAACAAAGAAACTTACCCATGTCAAAGCTGATGTTGAGAACCGACCCAACGGAAGTGCCCGCTCCCACACCCAGGTTACCGGGAGACAGGCACACGAGATTGGTGACATTCTTGTGAGTGACATCGACTCCTTTGGGCTCTCCTGTGGTCCCTATGATGCTGTTAGACGAATCGATGGTATATTTCGAGTTGAGCAGCTGACATACCGGATGTGTATATCACATAGCAGCCGCCTTCTGGCCTTGCAAGATCGATATGAATGTCCTTCTCAATTGGTAAGGTCGCTACTTCATCAATAATCACCACAGTGTGGCTGTGATGTTGGGAGGTGACGCGGTGCTTTGTTGAAGTCAAACAAAGAACTACACCACCCTTTGACTGCTCCAATACTCGACGAATAGTTTTATCAGGAACAACTCCACCGTCGAGAGGAACATATTGAGCGCCGCATGATAGGATTGCCAAAATGCCAACAACCATATCAATTCCTCTTTTAGCAATAAGAGGAACTCTCGAGTCAGGACAGACACCTTGAGCAATGAGATATGTCGCCAATTCTTGTGCTCGGTTCGCAAGTTGACTATATGTCAACTCCTGTGAATCTGTGAGGTCATGGAGAGCTGTACCATCTGGAAAACGTCTCGCATGGTGATAAAATGCTGAAGTGACCGTCGAGAACGGAATATCTACACAATCGCCCTGGCCGAGACCAAGGATAGAGTCGTGTAGGACATGGTCCTGTACCATATTCGCCATGGTAATCGTGAGGGGAATTTATCAAGAGCGTGAGGAAGAGGCGAGAGAAGACAATGGGGATTGTTGCTCTCTGATGTTGACCGTTGAGTTGACCCTGAGATAACGGGACCGACTTATATAGGCTTCATGGCGTGGTGGCAGTGGCAATCCGCCCTGAGAGCGATGTTTCGTTCTATCTATTACAATATCGATACTCATTACTGCCGGTTTCTTGTTAATTGAACCGTCTTTCGGCCTGTCTCCACGGATTGACGTCGTTGGGAGATATGGAAGCTGCCCTGATGCCACAGCAACTTCGGTTGCAGTTCACACTACAGAGAGATAGCGGACCCAAACTGTCATAATTGCTTCTGCATTCCTCACACGCCCGCCCGGGGGTTCTGACTATACGGAGCCGGCCCCGACGTACGGAGAATGTGGACGGACCATCGCAGTCCGGTCAGTCACAGAGGAATGTGACGCCGATGAGACATGCGTTTACCAGGGGGACCCGGGCCAAGGGGCCGCTGCTAACTACCGACTAAGGAATCACCTTTTTCTCAAGAACGACTTCTAGGGTATTCCCTCAATGCTACCTTGAAAATCCAATGTGATGGATCTTGTCCGGGGCTACAATACACCCTGGAAACCGGAACCCGTCAATCTAAAGTGGCAGTGGACCCTTGTTTAAAGCCATCGATTATGACGGGCAATGTATTGTAGATACATTTTCGCCCTGAATTGCAGGGCGTGTGAAGATACTATCATGTATCTACCGCATGTGGCTTCCTGATGGAGCCAAGGGTGTCTTTGAAGATCCTGCTACCGGCTCAACGCAATTCAGTATACTGGATGGCGCGTCTTTTGGCTATCAAGATAGCCCTGGTCAAACTTCCACACCCCATCTATCACTGCCTGCCTCGACGTCTCCTTCTATTGCCTAATCACCCATTTGACTGCTTTGACCTTCGCCACACTATCTATATTGTAGGGAAGTGATCCGTCGTTTCTAAGCATCGTGGAATGAGCACCGATGCTACAATACTTACCATCTCAATAGACTGAGTTACTTGGAAACCCTTACCGGGTCCCCGCTGACTCAAGAATTCGAATCATTATCGGAACGGGATCAAAACCTTGCTTCTCAGGTCAACTGCAAACCGGCCCACGTGTACTTGGCACCCTTGATATTCCTCGATATTCTGTATAGGTATCAAGGATATCTGTGTTATGCAAGCAGAGACGTCAGGATTACTCCATTACTCGAACAGCCTGTGTAATGATACAGCAGCTGTTTGGAGGCTCAGAGGTTACTCTACAATGGACGATCTCGAGGAGATACTCTCTACGCCTTCTGGCAGGACTTGCCATCAACGACTAGAAAAGTATTGCAATCGGGCCTGGGCTTTTGCTGAAGACAACGCTCCTTCCAAATGTTAAGTTTGTCGACATAAAAACTGAAACGAACATGTGTGGCCCTCTGTGTATGACCACGTGCTGGCTTCAGTGTCTCCGAGGTGAATCTTGGTCTCATCCCCGGAGCGGGGAGTTCTCAACGGCTCACGTTTGCCTTGTTCAAGGGTTGGGTAAGCTTATACTGGTGATACATGCATATGCTGCACGTCTGCAGTGCTGACTCCCTCGACATGCCGTGGAGGGCATACTATTCGTGGCGCCAATCTCAAAGGGAAAAGATTCACTTTATGGGTTGGTCTACGACATGTTTAAGGAAGGAAAGGTAAGTATTGGAGGAGACTATTGATGCTACAGAGCAGCTCGCGACTCGAGAGACTATTGTTAAGCAACCGGCCAGGGAGGCTATGTGCCGAGACTACACAAGTTCAAGAGTCACACTGAACCACGCTAAGGGCCGATAAATGCTTTTAATTTTGCTTCCTATATTCTTTGGTCAAGTTCTTGCCATATCAGTTACTCGAGATGATGCATACCAATGCATGGCTGTCAACGTTCCCTTCCGCATCCCTCTCAACGGGCTTACATGGACTAAAGCTTAACCTCTACATCCCTTTCTTCTCTCGCTTGTTGGTTCACCCTATCGGATGCTTGCCCAGTGTCCAGTATTGGATGCAGTGAGACAAAGCAGTTGTTGGCGTTTAAACGGACCGTTTTCCGCACAGCCATGATGGCGAACGGCACGGTAGTTGCCAAGCTGATAGGCAGATCCTCAGAAGGGCAACAATGTGAAAGTGATTGCTGAGCCGCAGGCCCCAGATCCGTCTCTTTTCGGCCCATCTTTGCCACGCGCCTCGGCTTGTTGAACTGATCTGGCGCTCAGGAATGAGTAGATCTTGTCTCAGACTCAGTACCATCTTTCTAGAAACAGAGCTGATGGATGGAACGCTGTCGTCTTGGTGGATTCTGTTGTGCGTGTATTCTCGCATAGGAAAATGGTAACCGGCTGTATCTTTCTCGCTGGAGGCATGTTCAACCGAATAGCCCAAGGTTTCTCAATCATACGATATCACTGTCACTGTCATGATCAGAACTTCTGAGATGACTGGCATGGCGTTGTCAGTCTACCGTTAGCCGTCAAGCGTCATGGCATGTAAAGTCGTCGTCAGCCTCGAGGTCTCTAGCCTACGAGTTGGTACACAACCCCCAGCTCTACATGGGCTTTGGGCATACCTTAGTTGGCATGCAAGGTATACCGTGGACTCGATGATTCGCACCTTTAAGGCAAGTGGCTTCTTTTCTCAATCCTCCTTTGGGTACTCGTAGTTGTCTAATGTCTGCGCTTGCACTTGCAGCCCATGGTCTGTCTTGGCCTGAAGGCCCATGCATATCGGCCGTGGAAGACATGACGAATATCGCGCATGAGAATGAAGATTCTTTCCGCACCCAGGACAGGAATAAAGAGCTATGCAGCTAGGGAGCTCTGAGTCTCAGTCAAGTCCCAACCTCCCATTCATGCGGTCTCAGTTTACGACCTGAACGTCGGGACCATTCGTTCGTTCCTTGGTTCTTGGTTGATTCCATTCTCCCTTTGGTCACTTAGCAATATGATAGGTTGGTTGCCAATGTCTCACCCGTCCTGTCACTCTGCCAGTACCGCGGTTGCGGGTTGGTGATGTGCATCGGTACTGAGGAACCAGGATTATATACGAACAAGGGCGAGAGATCTGCGTAAACAAGTTACAGATCACTGAGTCTTCGGCCGAGGGATGTGATATCCCCTGTCAAGTCGACGAGCTATCGAAGCCAGACTAAGCTAGGCTAAAGGTGTCAGTTGTACTGTACATATGGATACTGATTCAGTGAGTGCAGGATCTGAGACCCTTTGACGAGATTCACAGCAGGGATGTACTGTGTTGACTTTGGCTGATCTGATCGATGAGTGTGACGGAAAAAGCAAAACAAAAGTGGCTTGAAAGAGGGAAGGGTTTTAGCCGATCAGTCAAAGCAAAGAAAGAAACTCGAGACATTTCTCAGCTTGATTAAATGTGAGACTGTCTCTCAAATTTCTTCTACAGTCGATACTTCTTTACGCATTCAGGAATTGGTACCTGAATTGTCTTTGTACGAGAATTGAGCCGCTTATTAGTGTTTCTAGGTACATACCAGCTCAGCTACCCTGCAATGGATAAGTTGAGTATCTTGAGGTCTAGATAAAGGTCATGACACCTGAGAGATTATAAATATACTTATTAAATTCCCGTCTAGATTTGAAGCTTCAAAGCAAGATAGAAATCATGTTTATATCCAGCTCGTGACATTGATCTGTCCACATCTCTCTTAAACAATGTTGTAAATGTAGCTAACAGATATTGACATACCCAGTCACAACGATTACTGAGTGCCAATCAAACCGTAGAACCTAAAGTAAATCCTTCTTTGTCAAGACACGTCTCCAGTTGTTCTTACGTATCTGTTAAGAGGATGATCTGTTAGGCTATATTAAATCCAATCTTTTGTGCAATTACAGAATACATATCGGGTATTGATAAAATTGATGCTTGTTTATTACAGAATTAGATTACACTCTCAGCTTCTTCATCGCGGCCGCCAGAGTATCTGCAGACCTCCTAGCCATATCAGACTTCTTACCTAAAATCCATAGCCCTTTTATGCAGTCCTGTGCTCGTCGCACACTCTCCTGAAGGTCATGTCCAGTAGTTGCTGGAGCCGCTATGCTGTACTCTATAGAGTCCTTGGCCTCTTGTATGAAGATCATAGCTGCCTTGGCAAAGGCTCTGATGAGGAGAATAGTCCAGGGCTCTGTAAGAATTGTCGCCTCGCTGACCGCATGGTGGAAGTGCGACATTTGAGATGCTGTTAGATTGGTCAGGTTGTGGTCAGGGGTCGACACCTTGGCCAATTCAGACAACTCTTTGGCACTCGATTCACGTATCTTTGTCACCATCTTGCTGGATAGTCGGCCATGAGATGCATTTGCCTCGCCCAGCTCGTTCTCGTCCACATACTCGATGAGATCGGCGAGCATAAGAGCACCGAGATTCCAATGGGCCGAAATGCAGACGAACCAGCTTTGTAAGCGGCCTGGAACTGATTCGTAGTCAAGGAGCAGTTCCTTGAAGAAAGCACCATGTGTCATATTCCAGTATCGATAAAGTGAGCTGGTGTTTTTGATGAGTTCCTCAACCTTTTCTCCACGGCCTCCTCTCCTCAAGATATTTTGCAGATAGGATACATGGCGAAAGAGGAGAACTTTGACGGGTGCTGACTTGGTGACAGCTTCAGCAGCCGATTCATATGAGCAAGGCCAGTGCACAGCGCGGTACATATGTGGCTGTTCCAGATTATCCTGGATGAACAGAGGAACGTTCCACCGTCCATTTGTTGTCGCGTCAAGATCATCGTCTGCATCGTCATGCTGACTATCTGCGTCAGCGACAACAACTGGACGCTCACTCATAGATGAGGAAACAGTGTCCAGCATGACTGCAAGCCAGTAAAGCAACCCAACAGTGCCACGATCTTCCGGGTTCATCATCGACAGCGCGTCGCTATTCTTAGGGCTTGTAAGAGGTCCAGTGACACCGCGTCGCCCCGAGTCGAATCGAAATTTAAGAGTATGCATCTTTCGTGCAGCTCTCTCCATAAATACTGGCAGGCCATCTCGTGAGATAATGTCGCCGAGTTCGGCGTTCAAAGACTTCATATCAACTTCCGGTAGTGAAGAAGACAATGTATTGGGGTTTCTAGCCGTATCATCGGGTTCATTGTCAAAAGTCCAGGGCTTTTGGGTCAGACCAAAGATTAACTCGGCGGTAGCTACTCGATATGACTCAACCTCGGCAACATCCTGGAGAGCCCTTTTTGCCTGTTCCCAGAGGTTTCGTTGGATATTTCGATCGAACTCTTCAGTGACATCGTCGAGTATATCCTCCGGTGTCTCGCCGTCAGTCGGAAAGCGCTGTCGCTGCCGGCGACTGCCTTGGGCCCATTGTGTAGCAAAGGCCATGATGGCTAGTTGGAATGCCTTTGCGGCAGCTTTATCCTCAGAACGAGTTAGTCGAGTGAGTTTCGATGTTGATATTGCATGATCAAGATTGATTGTGCGACGGTAGATGCGATTCGACCATGACGATCCCCATTCGGTGGGAGCATAACTGCCTCCAGCAACATAACCGGGTGCCCGGTAAGGGCAAGTTACTTCAGTCAGCCAGCAAGAGAGATTGTGCTCCAGGACATCATGATATATTTGTAAAAGGTTTGTGGATATGAACTGGTTGTTGAAGCTTGTTATCATAGTCTGGTCAACCGAGAACGGAGACAATGAGTTTGCTCCTCGATCAGTCCATATTGACGATGTTCGACGGCGTTTTGCTCTTGTCGACTCATCTCCACCCCAAGCCTTGTCCAGAGGAGAGTGCGAGTCTGTTCTACGCCGCAAGACAGCTGGCGAGTTGTTGTACAGATTGGATGCGCGTGGGCCTTGTGAGTGAGAATGAGATAAGTGCTTCGCTGTATTATTGTGATGGTGGAAGGGGTAAGCATTGCTTGGATTACGGGATGCTTGGGTCACGGTTGAAGTTGATCTGGCCCAAGCTGTCGCGGAAGGATGAGGTACTGCATGGAGTCCAGGTAAGTGAGATCCAGGGTCCTTCAAGTTGTGCTGTTGGAAGGCATTCCGTGCTATGGCGTCTGTTCGTCCTGGTCCAGGTATGAAGCTCTTGTCAAAGGTTGCGAATGAGCCCACGTTGGGTTCAACCCTCTGTCGTTTCACAGGAGCATCAGCGGGTTCACCAAACGAGCCTGACGCTTGTCGAGGCGGCGGTGGCGGCGGAGGAGCAGCAGTAACAGCACTCAAGATGGACGCAGCTTGTATCTGCGACCAAGCCCAGTTCATGGTGCATGTCTTCCTCGTCTTGGTACAATACGAGCAAGACTCATGGCCACTTTCAGAAGCTGACACAAAGATCCTGCTGTTAGTTATCCATTACAAAGCTACCATAAGGAAACTCAACTCCACCTGATCACATACCGAGCCTTTCGCTGTTATTCGTATTGGAACAGGTTGAAGAGCCAGAACCGAGAAGGGGCGGCGCATCGCAAGCTCGCTTTGACCTTCGGCATTGGTCGCAGGCGTAATGACTACGCTTCATGGTACCATGCGATTTGGTCGTTCACGAATTGAACGTAAAAGAGTACTTGGTAAAGGGGGAGACAGCGGCAGTTATTACAATTGTTTGACCTATACGGTTCTCAACATGGAGCCATGTGCAAATGTTAGAGACATGCTACTGCAAGTGGATTGCTTGAAATCCCAACGTGGTACGAGAGCTATACCCCACTAATACAAAGACATCCGCTTCCCCGGCACTAATAATAACAGAACTGCAAGACCCAGATACTAAAAGCAAGCTACTATTTAAAGTAAGGTGAAGCTAAGCAATATTAACTTTAAGCTCTTTTATTATTACTAAGTATAATATAAATTAATACTATTTATTTATTATTTTCTTTAAACTATAAGTTTCAAGTTAAATTTATTTTTAATATTATAATTAATAATAATCTTTTTTAGTAAAGTTAAATCTTAATAACTTAGGTATATATATTATATTATTTATATAGATTATCTTCTCTATTATATAAAAAGTAGTAAGAGTAGATACTAAATCTAATTACCTTAAAGTTTAATAATTTATAATTAATATAATAAGTTTATAATAAGGCTATATAAGGTAGTAATAAAACCTTAAATTATTAGGAATAAAAGGTTAAAAATAGCTTATACTATCCTTATTTCTTTTATTTAATAAAAAGAATATTAAAGCTAATAATTAAAACTAATTTATAAGTAAGTATATTTTATATTTAATAAATAATATGCTAAGCTAACTAGATCTTAGAAAAGATACTAATAACTTATTAACTAAGCCTATAAGCCTATATAAAAAGCTTACTATTCTAAGACTAACAGATTAATATTATACTAAATAGTAATTTACCTTACTATATAGTACTTTAAGCTTTAATTTCTAGTAATTAAAGTTAAAAAGAGCTAAGGTATATTTAAGTTAAGGGTATATACTAGATAAACTTAGTTTATATTAAAGTAGCTATATTTAGCTATATAGTCTTATACTTTATTACCTTTAGTAAGTAAGTTTTAAGAATATAAGCTAAGTAATAACTTCTTAAAGCTTTATTTTCTAAGCTTAATAGGAAAAAACCTAATTATATAATAAAGAAAGAGGTATTTCTTAATAAGATAGCTAAAGATAGAAAATAGAAAATATAATATATAAAGCTAGAAATAACTATTAAATTAGTTAAAGATTATATTTTATAATAAAACTTTTATAACTTTTATTTACTATAGCCTAATAAATTAGGTTATAGTATCTTAAAAATAAAGAAAGTTTATTAAAAAAGTTAAAAAATAGAAATTATATATATAATTATATAAGGTATTCTTAGTTATTAACCTAAATTAATTAAAAAGGTTATATAACTAATTTCCCTTAAAATTATACCTATAAGTAACTAATAATATAATTAATAATCTTTTAACTAGGATTAATTATAGTATACTACTAAGAAGATAATTTATATTTTAACTTTTTATAAATTAAATATATTAAATTAGCCTTTTAATTATTACTATAATACTTAAATATTACTATTATAACTAATATCTTTAGGCTAAGTTCTTAGTTTAATACTAACTATAATAAGGTTAAGCTAATTACTTTTAGCTATAGGATTTTACTATTACTTTAAAAAAAACTAAAAGTAGTAAAAGAACTTAAAAATAAAGCTAAAAGTATTAAAAGAACTATTCTATAAGCTAGCTATAAATTAATAACTAAGTTACTAAAAGTAGGAATTTTTATTAAAGCTTAAAATAAGTAATATTAATAAAAATAATATCTTTTAGTTTAAAGAGCTAAGAAAGTAAATAAATATAATATTTAAGTCCTTTAACTAAGTTAATTAAAAAACTTAGTAAGCTAATTATAACCTAAGATTATAATTTTTTAATAATATTAATATATAGTATTTTAAGTAACTTAAAGCTTAAATAAATAAGGTTTTTAAAAAAGAAATCTATTTATATTTTATACTATATTAAAGTTAATAAAGTTTAATTACCTAAAGTTAAGAAAAACCTAGCTTATAGCTTTAATAAATTTAAATTATATAATTAAAATTTTATACCTTTTTAACCTAGCTACTATTATAATATAACTTAGTAGTATAATAGTAATAATCTAAGTTATAAGGGTAAGTAATAATAAAGCTATTTACTACTTAACTAAATTTTACCTTTATAAAATACTATAATTATAGTAAGAAAATCTATATTAATAAAAACTATAGGTTAATTAAGAAAATAAACTAAGTATAAGTAGAAAATAGGTAATAGTAAAAGATTAAGCTTAATATTTAACTAAACTTATTTTAAATTTACTTAAAAATAAACTAAAAGCTAGTAATTACCTTTATAGTATAATTACCTTATCTAGCTAAGAGAAAGCTAAAGTAAGTATTTATCTTAATACTAAAGTATAAATAAATATAATTAATAGTATATTTATAAAGTAATATAAATTAAAATAGTTAATATTAAAGGGTATTAGAATTACTAATATTAACTTATAATTAAGACCTTAAAACTTAAAGTATTAAGTAAAATTTATTTAAATAAATTATAAAGATATAATAAGAATATTTTCTTATATACTTATTAAGATTAATAAACTTAATAACTTATATAAGATACTAATCTTATTATTTTATTTATACTTCTAAAATTTAAAAGTTATAATTAATAATAAGGAAAATTACTAGTAATTTAAGTATAATTAAAGTAAGAAAATAGAAATTCTTAAGAAAGGTATATATATTTATTTAAAAGTTTAAGAATATTAGGTTTATATTATTATAGCTACCTATAAGGTATATACTTTACCTAAGGAAAATATTTATATAAAATCCTTCTTTAAATAATACTAAGTAAGTATAAGAGTTTATAGATATACTTAGTTTAAAAAATATAAAAACTATATTATAAATTAAAAAAAGTAATTATACTATTAACCTTTAACTAAGAAAGAAATTTCTCTTTAAATTTATTTATTTTTTATTACAAACTAAGCTTAAGAAGCTATAGAAATATATTTAAAAAAAACCTTTAAAAGGTTAATATTTAACCTTATAAATACTTTATAAAGGCTTAAATCTTATTTATTTCTAGAAAAAATAGTATATTAAAATTATATATTAATTACTAAAAATTAAATATAGTAATAATTAAGAATTACTATTTACTTTTACTTATATTAAAGCTTATAAATTAAGTTACTAATATTAAATACTTCTTTAAAATTAATATTAAGATTATTTACTGTTATATATAAATTAAGAAAGGTAATAAGTAAAAAGTAGTATTTTAAACCTAATATAGGTATTTTAAGTATATAGTTATACTATTTAAAGAAGCTAATATACTTATAACTATTTAAAATTATATTTATAAGGTATTTAAAGAGTTAACAGATATAATAGATATAATATATAAAATAATATTTTAATTTAATTTAAAATATAAAAAGAGTATATAAAGGTATTAAAGGAAATCTTAAAGTAATTATAAAAAGCTAAGTTATATATTAAGCCTTTTAAATATATTATTTCTTAAAATAAAGTAAAGTTTCTAAGATACTTTATATTTAATATAAAATTTAAAATAAACCTTTACTATTAAAATACTATATTACTTAACGTAAGCTATAGCTATAGTTAAGGCTAAGATAATTATGTAATTTTAGTTATATAACTAGATTAATTAAGACTATAGCTAAGGTAAGCTAAACTTTAACTTTTTATTAATATAGTATAGAATATAAATATATCTCTTTTCTAAAAACCTTAACTATTTAAATTTTTCCCCCTTAAAATACTATATACTAATTCTATTATATACTTATAGTCTTAGACTATAATACTAGTTATAGCCTATTTATATAGTTAACTATTATCCTTACTTAATCTTTTAAAATAATAAACTATATATAGTAAATAGTCTAGCTATAAGGGTTAATCTTTATAAGAAATTTCTTCTTATTATTATTAGGTTTCTTCTCTATAGCTAGCTTTCTTACTAGCTCTTTTAATATAATTAATTTAGTAATTAGAAATAAGGTATAGTCTATATTTATATTTTACTAAATTAACTAAAGAAGCTTATAACTAAAGGTAGCTAGGTTAATCCTATATATAATAAGGTTACAAAAGGAATTAAGAACTAAGTTTATAGTAACCTATAATATATATAAGGTAGCTACTTTAATTTCTATAATCCCTAGGTATATATTATTATTATAGTAGTAGTTCTTTATTAGAAAAATACTATAGTACTTAGCTAGGATTTCTATAACTATAAAATAGGTTAGTAATATAAATTAATAGGTAGAAGTTTAATAACTTACTATATATAGGTTAAAACTAAGATAAAGAAGGAAGGAAGGGGGGCTAGGTTACTATACCTTATATAGTAGCCTTTTATATATATAAGTAACTATATTAGTAATAGTTAGAGTCTAGTAGCTATTAATAATACTAATTAGATTAAGCCTGTAATTTAACCTACCTAAGGGGTTATCTTTAATATTAATAAAGCTAGATTCTTAATTAAAATAAACCTTAAGTAAGTAAAAGTAATTAAAAATTAGTAAAAGTTAACTATATACTAAGAGATATAAGTTTTCTAAAGGTTTTATAAGTTTTACTACTAGTTTATTTATAATTACTTTAAAATTATAATACCTTTAATAAAACTATTAAAAGAAAATTAAAATACTAAGAAGCTAGAATTTATAACCTTAAATAAGATATAAT